TACTACTATTACTACTACTATTACTATTACTACTACATCTACTACTCTTCTCAGGTAGTTTTATTCTCAGCAGCAGAGAATCAGACCGAGCAGATGAGCTGCACAGGAAGTTAACAAGCGTTCACCAAACCTCAGCCGTGTTTGCTGAGGGGACAATTGTCCTCTCCACATCAACCTGCCGGACAAACACATGGAATCTATGGCTCATCTTTTCAAACCTTTGTTTTCTCCTCCATCTTCCAGAAAGTCAGAGTTCTGTCTTTCCCTGCTCACTGTCTCCTGTCACGTGGTGTCACATCACATATTAAAGATGCTCTTTGTCTCGTTTCTCTGCAGGAAATCAACCAATCGTATCCTTCACAGAAAACCGCTGCTCAGCTCAGTCTCTCTCTTCCTGAGCACTATCCCTGATAATGAAAGATCATAAGAGGAAGTGAAGATGCGAAGGAGAAGCTGAGGGAGTCAGGAAAGAACCTGACTCCACTTCTACTCGCTGCTTTTTAAACTTACCTTGATCTCAGATAGAAGATAAGTTCAGACCGTACAGTGACAAACTCTGCAGTTCTCTCTGTCTTTGCTCCTTGACTCCTTCGTTCTCAGCTGTCGTCCACTCCTCTGCAGATCCTCCTCTACCTCAACTCCTGGTACTTTGCAGCCTTCTACCTGGCAGAGATTCTCATGTTCATCTATAAAGGTTTGTTCCTGTTTGTGTCCACAAGTCACCATCAGCTGTGTGAGGTCATGTATTTGCTGGCATCTGCTGGTCAACCTGGGATATTACACTCCTGTAACGAGTCTGTGTCTGCTCAGGGATTTCTCTCCCGTACCCATCAGATAACCTGGTTCTGGACGTGGTTCTACTGCTCATCTTCCTCGGACTGGAGACGCTCAGGATCTTTTATGGTGAGTGAGATTTTATTTATACTCACCTGAACAGACGATTCCTGCCTTTTATGAATAAAGACAAACAGTCGTGATTTATCAAACACGAGCGAGGTCTGGTTTCATTCAATCAGAAAACTCCTGGACGAGGAGCTTTGAAAAAATGATCTGTTCATGTTTATGATCGTTGAAGCAAAATATTCACTGAAAAGTAAAAGAAACGTAATAAAATCCTGAATCTGAGGATCAGAGAAAAATACAATCCTGACAGAGCCTGTGACATGAATCCTTTGTTCATTAAACTGAAATTAAAACTGTCTGAAAATGAAAAATGTGTTAAATGTAAATGTTGGCGGCCATGATGTCGTCACATGTTCCACCCCAGTGTGACGTCATGAGTTCAGTTAACTGTGTCAAGTGACAGAACAAAAATCCATCTCTGGTGTTTCTGTGTCTCGGTTCAGGTTGGAAGGGGAACCTGTGTGAACGCTCTCTGGCTTCGTGTGCGTCGATCTTCATCCTGCTCCCCTGCGGCGCGCTCGCCGTTTACTTCCTGCTGCTGCAGACCTTTGTTCTGCGGCTGGAGTTCATCCTCAGCGCCGTCCTGCTCTGCTTCTACGCCCTCGAGCTGCTGCTCGGACTCCTCTCCTTATCTGCTTTCTCCAGGTGAACACGTCCAGAGGCTCAGATCGTCTGATGTCAAAGTTGAGATCAAGTCTTTGATTTCTCTGCTACATCTGAAAATATCTGAGTTCACACTGTTTGTGCTTCTGTTTTGTGTCTGTAGGTCCAAAGTTTACTGAAGAACGTTCACCTGAAACAGAACATGACGACAGATCAACTGTAAATATAAAACACTGCTGTTAAATACTTCTACTGTTTGATACCAAACTTTTTATAAATGTATCAGTGCTTTGATCTTTGTGTAAATAAATTCTGGTTCATTTTAGATTTGTATGATGAACAAATCTGTGTTTTTATTTGAAGAGTCGACAGTAACGAGCAGCTCAACATAGAAAGTCAGAGTCTTTCCACCATCTTCACCTTCGTCTTTGGGTTTAATCGATGAATGTGACGGAGGAAGTTCCTACTAAGAGCTTTCTGATTGGACGCAGAATGACTCAAATGTAGTGACATTTTTGACAGGAAGAGAAAAGACAGAGATTTAGATAAATAAAAAATAAAAATATCAGCATGTTGGTTTTATAACAAGAGAGAAATGAAAAGGAATCAAACTAGAACATGAATCATACAAATGCAGAATTTAATTTCCTCCTCAGAAGGTGTTTTTGTAATTACTGTGGGTCGTATTTGATCAAATGAAAACGGGCTGAGAAGCCATGATTGACGGCTGAGACTGACTCATGAATGGTTGACCGTGTATATAGGCGGGGCCTCGATACCTCAGCTCCACCCCATGATCACTACAGACTCTGACTGCAACTTACATCACCACCACAAGATGGCAGCGTTCGTATCGGAGACATTTTAGCTTCATTTCTGGAGGAAGTGGAGACGAGTTTTTATTTGCAGTCACTGATCATCGATATTTTCAGTCCATGTGCTTATTATAAAGTTTGTGTCACGTTTCCTCTTTGATTTATTCATCTACAGTTGAAAACATCTTTTTTATTTCAGTAGAGAAACTGGTTGTAATTTCTGCTGTGAAACAAGCACAGAAAGTAGTGAGACGTAAAAATCCCCAGAAAGTTTCTTCCCCTCACTTTGTTTTTGCATATGTTCAATATACATCAAGTTTCTCAGGGAAAACTTTCTTCCTTAAGCCGTCTCTAATCTGAGATGACTAATTTAACAGTAAGCGAACAGGCAGAATGTGACTGCCAGCGTTGAAAAGAGGATAAAGAAAGTTGAATTCTGCTTCGGCCATCAGCGCCGCTCCTCCTGACCTGCGCATGTTTGTGCTCGCAGGGCATTTGTTCTGCTTGTCAAAGTCGCCGTCCAATTGGGTGAAGCTTGTATTAAAGAGATCAGTGTATTTGCATGTTTCCACGATGGCTGCCCTGCTCGTTTCTCTCAGTGAATATAAAGTAGACAGACGTTAAAGCTGAGAGGTTTCATTACAGAGTCTATCGCAGCCACACAAATTAAATTGTGCCACTTTGTTGAACAGCGACCTCTGTTCATAACGGCAGCTTCATCTGCACAGTGAGTCCACAGCCTGCACACAAACCTGAACCTGCACAACTCAACCTCACAACAGACACACACTCATTTCTATCCTCACAGATTTTCTTTGAACTTGGATTTAAAGAGCCTTTTAAACGTAGACTTAGAAACCACCTGCAGGATAAATTAATATTTGACACATTATATTATTTTGTTCTTGAATTCTGAGAGTTAATTATCCACTGGAGTTATTTATTTTTTGTCAGTGTTCAAGGCCTCAAATGTTCCAACATCTTTGCT